GAGATGTGGGCTTACTACGTAGTGGGCACTGTTATTGTCCCGACTCAACCGAAAAACTCTTGAGGCATTCTTGGTGATCGAACGTCACTCTCTTCAAATTCTACTTCTATCTCTCTACTCTTGGGATATTAACTTCCTTCCGAGAAGCTAGCCTCGACCAGGCCCTATGGAGGACCATCTTTTCCAATTCAAGCGGTGGGAACTCCTACTATCCGGGGACTCCCTTCCGAAATAAAAGTTAACTTAATTTTTTTTTTGATTGAATATCAAATTATATGGTCATAACCACAACTTAAATTAACTGACAGAGCTTAAGAACTCCCAAAAACAGTAATTGCGAAGGATAGACAAGAAACACTGTTCAATGTTTTCCTTCATAAATTCTCTACATATTAGCACAGATTTGTTTGTAAGAAAAGAAGTGTTGAAATAGAGGTGGATGTAGAGAAAGTAATATTAATGTAGTCAGATTTTATAAGAAACACTCAGATCTCAAAAATAAAAATACTATGGATATGATACTACACTCAGCAAAATAATTTGAAGCAATGACATGTGGCATAATGGAAAAAGCAGATAAAATAAGTAGTATCAGCTTTGAATATATATTGACTATACATACATTCTACTACATAGTGAGTAGAATTTGACAAAAATCTCTCTACAGACCAAACAACTACAATGAAATGAAGGTACTAATCTGGAGAAAATAATAACAAGCCACAACTCGCGTTAAACAACTTTTGAAACAAGTAGACCAAACTTCTAGTTATAAATTCGAATTGCATTATTATACTTCAGTTAAATGATTTAAAAGTTACAAAAGTATAAAAGATATTACTAACATTTCTTGTAACCTTATTAAATAGTTACTGCACTAGCAAAAATATAAACAGCTATAAATTTATAAACACATAGGATGATAGACAAACACACACTTAAGTTTGAATCAAAAGCACATTTTTGCAAGGACTTATGGAGTATGCATTGGGAAGACTGAAAAGAAAGCTGAAATTAAACTAGAGGTCTTGCCATATTCATAACAAAACTGCATCAATTCACACAATATGCACAATTAGAA